TTATCATGTGTGCGCCAGCTGACTGTGGTTCGTGGGCACTCGGAGTGATTTTTTTTTTCTCACCCAGACAGTCTTGGCTAGATTGTGTTGAAATTTCGGAACATTGTCAATTCTGGAACATGCCCAAAAATGGATTTTAAAATATAGGGAATCGAGACACGCGTATGTGATTAAAAGTTCCGAAAGTTTGTTTACGTTGCTCTTTGATTGACAAGTCACTGTTGATGTTTTATGCAAATGAGTTGCTGACCTCAGTTACGGTGCGGCGATGTGTAACTTCCTGTCCGCGACCCTGTTTAACTTACCTCAAATAATCAACCATCAACTAGTCTTGCAAACTACACAACAAAGACAAGATCTAGACGCTAATGATAAGTAAACTTTTTCACCCTTATCTCGCAACATGTCGACAACTTCTAGCCTGGCAGCTTCCAGTGGAGTACTGTTAAATATTTTTTTTTCACGCATTTTTTTCTCCGAAGGCATTATAAAACTGACTAATTATACATTTGTCGTTTCGCTGTAACGATCACTGTGCTGATAGACATTCATGCGCATATCAGTGGCATATTTATTATGCAGCCAATAACATTTACATATGGACTACGTCACGGTGTGATAAGGTGTGTCAGACATGCGCATGCTCAGTGGAAAACTTTAAAAGTCGTTGCATATGTGAATGACGAGTATTTCCACCATGTCACGTTATTGATGCAAAATATTCATGTCCAATTATATATTTCTAAGGAATGAGTCGTTCTTTTATAATTGCCAGACCTTAAAATTACCAAATAACGGCAACTTTTTTTCAATACGTATACATTCAGCACTTTTATTCTAGTCACCTCGGCACAAATAATGGTTTGTCCCGTAGTAGGGTTGAAAGAGTATGAGAATGATGTGGTTGAGGGCGTCCGACAAGTATATACATTGTATGTACAGGTTCTGTTTTGAATTATAACTCAGTTGTATACCGCTACGCATAGGTGAGATGCTATTTAAATCGGGACAGGGCTTATGATCAATGACCGAGTTGAGTCTCGAAAACGGGTACAGCAAACCAATGTAACCAATGGTACCAAGTAGACACGACGAACGCAACAGGTGTTTGTTGTCATACTTGCGTACGTCTTTGCCAATTATGGAATTCACTATACGCGATACATTGGCCATTAACTTTACTCATGGCGTGTAGTGACCTAAACGTTCCCATGCCTCTAAGTTTACGTACACTGTTGTACTGGGGATTGGTCGCGAAATATGTGTGTGGTGCGTTTAAGGATATAGCACTAAATTCAGCGGTGAGTCCACCTAATTGTACTCAGTTTGGATGCCCACCCTGTGTACTTGCACGTTTATTTACATATTGAGCATGTCCTGACATTGGGCTTTGAGGCAACATTTACGACGACATCACCGTCGTCATTTGCAAGCTGCGCTAGGTTGTCACGGTTATATATGTACCCTTTATTGTAATGATGTACATACGTTTTAGGCATGTTTAGACTTAAGGTAGTTGGCTACAATTAAAACAGACCACCATACATGTACTTCCCTGACTGTGGTAATGTCTTCCACGAAAACGGCATAACATCCTACTGAAGAAGATAATAGCTAGAAATTTACATATTTAATAGGACAACGAGATAACCAAATATTATCTAATGATATATCATGAACTTGTTAAGTTAAGAGCAATGCATTGGTTCAGTGTGGTGAAAATGTCCCAACATTTTGTTCGGTCAAATACAGTAAACACAAAGATGTGTACTGGTTATTAAGAAATTGTAATATATTCCCTATCAAATACAATCATGTTGTATTACAGCACCGTTGAAATGACAATTCTCTTTTCAATTTATGTAATTTATGTTTTTTTAGTAAGTTCAATAGTCAGATTTATTTCATTCACCAGGTAAATTTAAACATGCAGTCCTTTCTAATCATTTTATTTGTGACGTCATTCCAAGACTGGGCGACCAGCGTGACTACAGGTAAACATCGAACGCTTTTTAAATTCGGATTATTAATGTAATTTTATGTACTTAATTTTCACATGGCCTGAAATTTTAATTTAGAGAAGTATCTATTTAATACTGTACTTTACCAACTCTTCTGCATAGAAGTAACCAATTAACACAATTCCCACATTTTCTTTGTCTCTGACATATGTGATACGTTTTTTGTTGTTTTTGTTTTAGATCTGGAGTTCTCGTCGTTTAGAGTGGTCCGCCCGTATTCGACTGGGTCTGTCTCGTTTCTCGTGGACACTGAAATTGACACACATTTCAGTTTCAAAATAACCAATAACGGAGATAATCTCGGAGTCGACAATGGTGATCCACCCTTTAATATCACGTTATACCTAACAGACGCCGATCAGACGGACCATCTTTATGATCTGCACACAGTTTCTGATCATACCACAAACATTTCGGCAGAACTTCTCCAGAATGGTGACGTCACTTTGACAACATCGATCGGTTTCAGTTACCCTAAAACGCAGTGTGGGGCAGCCAGCTACATATGTGCTGGCATACTGCCATCCTTATACGTAGACAACACTGCCAGCAATGACGTAAAGTGTCTGCGCATGGCAAATGGGGATATCGACTCGTATGCTGGGGCTACAAACTGTCCAGGTAGGTATATATATTAGAAGACGTGAGGGTGATGAAATGACATATCTATTATACATGATTTGAAGCACAGAGTTTCGTTACCGGACACATTGTGTAGTATTTCACTGCATCGAAACCGTTCCGTTGCGTAATAGTATAATTATACAAGTGTAACACGTATTATTACATATGTACTTCAGTTTATTTTGATTCGTCCCATAAATCAAAATCGGTATTTCCACAACCCATATGCAAATGAGGTCTGCGAGCAAACAAAGTAGTCCCTTCAGGAGTACAGTTTTTCGAAATAAACAATATTTAGAAGTATGATATTTTCCCCTTGGGGTACATGAATATACTTGCTGGCGCACACGTGATAATAAAATAAATACTTTAATTAAAAAATAACTGAATCACTGTCATGTTAAATCACATTCGTTGTAAAATACTGATGTCGTTTGTGATTACTGATTCCATTCACGTTTATTAAAATTCACGTTTAGTGTAATAAAAAATACACGTTTCACCATTCACTTATGTACGTGTACCATCGAATTTTGAACAACCACAGTCAAGGAGAAAGCCCTGATTGGTTGAACGGTTAGTTTTGGGTATCCAATGAGAGTAAAGCTTACACATAATCTTGTCGACGTGCCTCAAATACGAAAACAAACTCAGTTTCAACGTTCCACTTTGTTTCTCCAGATATTGCCGTGGAGAGTTTCACCATAACATCGCCCTCAACGGTGGAGTACATCCAACATAGTAGTGTTGATATCAAGTTGACTGTTTCTCTTATCAATTACGGCAGTGACATTGACACTGCGCCTGCCCTAAAGGAAAACTTCTTCTTCGAAATTGTTTTGTCAAGCGACGATGATTTAAACAAGGTAAATAAAATGACGATAATGTGTTACAATCTCTGGTGCTGGATAGAAAATAACTAAGCTTCGAATATATTAGAGTTGGCATATTCTTTAGGTGAATTATTTGATGATGTTGATGATTCCGTGAAGAAAATTTCGGCGTTGCTCGTCCATGTCAGTCACAATTAACATCGTACTACGAGCACACTGAGTATCACAGGAAATCACGTACAATTCAATGCGATTAATTGTTTGATTGGTTCTTATTTGATTTCCAGGACAACGTTACAATGGTGAACTTCACCATGGACCAATCACAAGCTGTGAATGCTAATGGAGGCATATCTCAGGACGCCTCGCTCTCGATCACCGATCTGAGCGCTACGCTGATTGCACCGGAGTCCGATGAGCGCTGTCAGGAATTGATATACTTCTGTCTCGTTGTTACTCCTGGTAAGTGTAGTTAGTCTTTTTGACGAGTAGTGAATAGATGAAACGCACTGTTGATTAAAATAGTAACGTAGTTAGATAGTTAAATACAAAATTAAGAGAGTTTTAAAAGTCGGATGAAAAGATGAGTTTATATATACAAATATAGTTCAAATTCGAGGGCCTCCGTCCATGACATAAATTAATATTATACTACAAAATAGGTAAATACAACACTGCCAGCACATAGTTTATATTGTGTCTCTGAATTGTGTTATTTATATGGAGGAATGCAATTTATATAACTAGATAGCCCCTGAAACGGCAAGGAATCTAGTCTACTCCAAGTCTCATATCCAAAAATACTGTTTAAAAAACATTCATTCAATTTTTTGGTTTTCAGTATTTGTGAAACATGGGAGCATTTATATATATATATACAATATGGCAGACGGCGCGAAAACCAAAATGTTTGCCACTACTAAGAGTGTTGCACGAAATAAATAACATGATCTTGAAATTCCTGCTTAAATGAAGTACTTTTGATTGCTTTTGACAAAATATCTATATCCTAATTGTGTGTCAATTTGGTATATGGCAACTGTGGAACAATGAGGGCAATTATTATATCTGTTGAATTCTTGGCTCTACACAAGAAGTTCAGTTTCAAATTGTTTCAAGATCTCTTGTCCGAAATTGAGTAGTTCAACTTTGTTCTCACTAATAATGACACCTGTATTTTGTAAGGAACTGACGCCGCCTTCGGTGAATTCGAGACAGGCAACAACGCGAAATGTGTCAAGTTTGACGTTTCAGACGACGCCACCAACGATCCAGGAGTATTGACATGCAAAGGTAAACTCGTATGTTCCAACATGGAATTCAATAAACAACGTACATATTAATGTGAATTGAAGCGACGCACTTAACAACTATGTTACATTTCGTATAATGTATTTTGTTTCAGGGGGCACGCCCTCTACAAGTTACTATTTGACAGTGTTGTTACCATGGATATGGAAACTATACATATACCTGTAACTCAACTAAGCATCAGAAGATCCACCAATACGTTGCGAATTAGTCTCTTAATAATTTCAATAACGTCTTGGCTTGAATATTTGAACAATAGTTACTCGAAGACGATAATTGCTTGTTTTAACTTATTATAATAAGTAATGTTTGTGCTATTCTATCTAGTATACACGTGGAAATATAATCATAATCTATATGCAATGTGTTTCGATTAAAAACCTTCCGTGGTATCGGAGGCAGTAGTTTGTCGGTTTTACGGATGCTCTGCATACTAGTATTTAGTTTTGATATATTGTATTGTCCTTTCGAACGTATTCATTTTATGCTACGTGGACAGTCACAATGAACTTGGAAACCGGATATTCTGCACACCGAGACAATGTAGGATGAGTCAAAATATTGACCTGAAAGACATTTGGGTTCACCGTTGTAATCAGAATTGTTTATTTTCACATTCTTTGTTAGTATATAGCGGTATATATATAAATTTAACAAGCTCACTGACTTATAAATATCGATATTAAATAGCAGCTGATTATTCTACCTAACCCTGTATATTTCGATGTGTGGGACCAGGCTTATTAAGTTTGTTGCCCATCGTTTACAACAAATCGTACTGCTCATCATAAACCTACCCTCTCCGTCAAAAAATATTTTCTGATGAACTAAAACAAGAAACTAACTAACTATTGTGATAAGCGTAATGCAGGAAAAGTTCTTGACTCCACGTAGTTAAAATGTAGTTAACACTGTCCATGTATGTTCTCTCTTCACTGGCATAGCTGTTTCAAAGTTTGCTATATGTTTTTTTTCATTTTGTTATACACAATGAAATAAAATATACTGTAGTCTAAAATTTGTTATTCCTTTTATTAAAGATGCAATGTAATAGTCGAAAAACTAGTTTTGTTTAACAGTATTGTTTGACATGTCTATCGTCGTGAAACCCTTGCAACTATGCGATACCTGGCGGTTACCATTTTACCGATACACTGTCGTACTAAGTATCTAAATGCACCAATCAAACCGCTTCTCTTACAAGTGGTCAATAAATCCAATTCCCTTGTTCCAATACAAGCGCTGATTGGATATTTGCATTCACTACGTTTACTCAAGAATACACAAATCATGATAGCTTCCAAATACTGAGGTCTTGTCGGTGTATTTTGCCAGAGTAAGTTTGGAGTGTAGCGGAAAATATTTCGAGTTATAATGCCGATGAGAATCGATACGACATATATAGGATTAAACTGAAATATGATTTATAATAAGCTGAACAATATATGTTAATTTGATGAAAATTGAAACAATAGTACGAATGTACAGTCACTGTGATTGATAATGTACATACCATCACATAGAACCACAATTTCTTTGACTGGATAACCCCCAAAACGTCAAGAAATCTAGTCCACTCCAAGTCCCATATAAAAAAATACTGTTTCAACATTCATTCAATTTCTTGGTTTTCGGTATTTGTGAAACATGGGATGATATTTTTTTCTGGCTGAATTCGTTTCATAAGGCAGAAACAAAATGGCATACGGCGCAAAAACCAAAAGGTTTGCCAAAACAACACCGCTAAAAAGTGTTCAGGGAGTTTTTTAGTAACGTCGAGCGAATAATCGTACATTGTTTTTATTCCATTGTTAGTCATGATAATCCAATTTATGTATCAACATGTTGTAAAACTAACATCTCTTCATTTACATTCAAATCTCTAAATTGACGAATATATTGTATCAGTTTGTATAGAATAGAATATAATAGAATAGAATAGAATATAATAGAATAGAATAGAATAGAATAGAATAGAATAGAATAGAATAGAATAGAATAGAATAGAATAGAATAGAATAGAATAGAATAGAATAGAATAGAATAGAATAGAATAGAATCATTGTCAAATTCTCACACAATATATAAGTCATGCCTTTATGTACTGCATCACAATATGGGTACGTGCACCAGCATAGCTTATCATAGCGGTCTCGTAATTCGAGAAAAGTTGTGTTGAATTTCAGGGGATGTGCCGTACTATATTGTGTACAGAAGGTCACGTGTCATTGGTTAATAAATACGTTGGCATGGAAACATCGTGCAAATAATATAAAAAAAAAAAACTGAACCTAAGACATACGCTTTTCCGATTTCCTTTTTGTGACTCATTAGAGATGGGTACAAAAACTTAATGTAAAGATTCCTTTGGGATGGGTTTAAAAAGTAAAAACATCACCGTCAATCCTCATACCATATGAAAATACTTTGGTTATATATATATATATAAGGTCCTCAATACAGTACAATACTTTACTATAGGCGCTATCAATTACCATGTTTGAAATGTTTTATTTACACTCGAATCACTTTGTCTACGTGTTAAACCAGTCCCCGAGGGGCTTGATAGACTATTGTATGGTGCTCCCCGTTTAATTGAAATGTGCACGACTCTGACAGTCGGCCTACTTATGGCAAAACTCAATGAGTTAGCGAGACATTCTAAATGGTAGATAACTGGTCACATATTGTAGCAACTTGAGTAAAACCACGCTATATTCTATTTTTTTGAGTTCAACCGTTGTATTTAGATTTAAAATTAAACTCGGCGACGTCGTGAGACGCAATCCAATTATTATTAACATCGTTAAACAGGGATCGACGAGTAAGCTACGTATATAATGGAGTGTTAATGGGTAATACCGTTATAAATTTGGACCATGCATTGTCATATGAACAAGATGATACTTTAGCAAGTTTTTGGTTCTGAGATTCACCACGAAATGTCTTAACTATGTATGGTTTGGGCACATCGTAACAACATACAATCCTGTAGACAAATTAAAATGCGTAAACTCGGTTCGATTCAACAAACAAATTATCGATAATAGTACATCTGTGAAAGAAAACCATTTCAGGTAACAAAAAATAACTAACATTCTAACTACCTTCGTACGTAAGTTCTACAAGCCTGTTCCATGTCTTAGACGTATTTACTTAACTTAACCTCACCTCGTATTGTGTAACTTATTTAATTTCTCCGTCACATGTTTTCATGCATTATCATATCGAACAAAGACCCCCTTGCTGTGCAATGCAAGGATACGTAAAATCCGCTGTTGTCGGGGTTCGATTTCAGAAACAAAGCTCGAAGTAGAAACGACAAGTCTAGTATTGTGTTTACTGCGCAGTTAAGTGGAAATTATAAGGTGAGTATAGACCCCCTATCACAACAAGCATAGTGGTCGGATTACATGTATATTTATTTGATGAGTTGAGATGTTGGTGAGAGAACTTGACTTTGAGCACAGTCTCTATATACATGGACTGTGGTATGAGCGATTGTCTATCATACTCACTAACGCGAATTATGACTAGCCCAGAGCAGTCAACCAGCATAGATATATAATAATTTAGTTTAAGAGGTGAATCATTAATAAATTGGGGTGGATTTGGTCGAATATTAGAGGGCAAAATATTTCCCAAATTACTTTAAATTTGTAGAACAAATAATAGCCACAATGGGGTTGCATACAATAATAATTATACCTGTGTTGTAGATTTTGGCAAACACTACTGAGGCTGCCTTGCTCCCCTTCAGAAAATCTACATTTAACCGACTTACATGACATTCTATGTTATGTTGACTTTATTATTTGAAAGTTCATAGTGCATTTCATCAATTAATAAATAAATATGAAAATGGTGATTTTCAACACAAATTATAGTCTCGCTACCTTAAGGTAGAGATGCAGTTTACCTGACAGGTATTTTAATTAGTTAATTAGGAAACCCAGATGACCTCCCCTGTCCACAAAACTATATATTTTCGGAAAGCCCATTGTATGAATTTTAAAGTTTTGTTAGTGTTTTATTTTTATGGACACTGTAGTTTGAAATATGCACAAAAATGTGCTTTTTTGGTAAAAAGTGATTTAAAAAAAATAGCTTCTAAACCATGCTTCTGTTTCCTGTAAAAATTGGTTTATGGGTACATCTGTTTACTATGAAGAAAGTGCCGTCTTGAAAACTGTTTACCAGTTGTCAATTTTGTAGGGCAGCAGCTCAAATTTCACTACTTCAAGTTTATGCATAAATTAACACCAAGGCTAGTTGTCTGTACGATGGCTGTGTATCACTATTCAACTAAAACCAACGCCCCGACGGCGTTTTGAAGATAAACACATTATCAATCATTTGTGAAAATTTCAAAACAAAAGGTCAAAGCGTCTAGGAGCTATTTTTTTAAAAGTTCTGGAATATGCACTAAAAAGAAGCTGAGATAATTGCTAATCTGCATAACAATTCACTCAGTAAGAAGTTTGCTAATGCTCATAATTAAAATGGCTGTTACAGTTTCAAATTTAAATGTATTATCGTTTTGTAAAAAGTTAAATACAGTGCATAATATGGAGATCCCGTCATTTCTTTTTTTCACCATGTTTTGTTTTTATTATTTATGTACAGCCTTGCTAAATCTTGCCAATCATTCAAAAGAGATAATGTTTGCACCTGTTATCTATATTTTAAAATCGTTTTTTGAGCATGTTCCACTATTCACAATTCTACAAAATTTCAACAGTCCATAGCTAAGACTTTTTGGATAATAAAAAGCAAAAAAGAAAAAAAAAATTGCCCCAAAGTGCCCACGAACCTGCAACTCTAAACAAATGAGTTTAATCAAACGAAACAAACATCTCCAGAATACTAGTACAATACATGTGATATCTGTAACCTTTTAAAGTATGGCGTGGTCATTTACATGTAATGGCCCCGGGTCGTTTTGATTCAGCTACCACAATATTACACAGAATTCGAGTCAGTATGCTATATATACTTATAGTTACGTAATGCCATAGGCAGATTATGAGATTATTTTTAAATGATATGAGAAGAAGTATAAGTGTGTCCGCTCAGCATCTATTACATCCGACCCCAGTTAGTAGACAACCACGAGGCATGCCTAGTTGGGGGACGGCGTCCAGTCGGAGAGAGCGTACAACCATATACACTGTTTCTGTCTCTCGTACACGATATGTAGTCATAGTACTCAACTCGCAGAGAGCAGTGGATTGCTGTGAAGGCAGCTTGGTGAATATTTATTGTATTTTGCTTCAATAAGCAATACAACCAAATGCGTAAATTTGGTAATTACGCATATACCATCACTGTATAAGTTGCTAATCATGTTATCGGACCAACTACAGTTTTATTTCAACTCATGTATTTTTTTCTACAGATGGATCGTAGCAAATATAAAATCGCATTGTACCCCTCGCTGTTCCTTGGATTTGTAGTCACGCAGTCATTCGTGGTCACACAAGCCGTCGATGCAGGTACGTAAGGCCCCGGCCGGTTCTTAATTCTCAGTGTAACTCAAAGATGTTCGACAATTTGATAACACAGAGAAATGAGTAAATGACTCATGATTTAAAAGTACGGGATACTGATTATCACTTAAATCATGTGATTTAGCTGTGATTTAATTTGGATCACGAACGCGGCGATGTAGAAGTTTCAGCCAATCAAATTGCAGTGGTAAGTGTATACGCGTCCCGATTGTGGCAAATGCTGAGTTGTCGGCACTTTGATCTCATATGCCACCCGAGATATTACCACGGGAAACTAACTATGAGAACGCCTACTGGCATGCAATTCAAGGCATCCAGAGCATAAAAAAGGATTCAAACTCAATATTAGTTTCTGCATACTTAAAAATGTAGGCCCATTTCATGAGAATGAAAAAAAAAACATGAAAAACATTATAGTGTTACCGGGCAAAAATTTAGACGTCCCCTGAAATTGGCAAAAAATCTTTCTTCTAAATCGCGCCCTCTAGTGGCAGAACGCTTCTGTCAAAATGACAAATAGTTCGAAATCAAAAATATAGTGCATTTTTATTACAAAACATAATCCTCATTGATGGACGACTACAGAATAAAATTATATCGGTGCTTTGAACGGTTTCGTGTCAACCATTAGGTCAAAGTAGCATCCTGTCACCAGAGGGCGCCATTTATAGGAAATAAGTATTCGGGTCCATGATTCGGGTCAGATCTATAGATGTTGCAACCTGGGTCATATAAGTATACATATATGTTTAAACAAGTTTTCATTCATTTTATTTTTAGATTTATACGTTTTTTCGGTGAGTTTTTCATTGGCACCACCATCGTACGTCGTTGACAGTAGCACAGTCATTGCAACGTCAGCACATATACCCCCTACTCTGAGCATTAAAATCGCTAACCAGGGACCGGATGATTTGGGGGTGGCTTCGTCGGGATATCACTACAATATTTCGTTCTATCTGGCTGAGAGCGTTGACATGTTGAATCCAATTTCACTGAACTCGTTTGATATAGGAACGGAAGATAGCAACCGGGCGAACGCAATACCTGTTGGTGCGGATTCAGCGATTACGTACGATAGCTGGACAGCTTCCCTAACCTACCCTGCTGACAAGTGCGCCACCTATAGTCACTTCTGTGTGGCTATTGTTAAAGATGGTGATGCCACATACATTGACAGCAACTCCGCAAACGACTATAAGTGTCTCAAGTTCGTGTCCTCTGGTTCAGATGGAGTGTCTGCTGCAGGGAAAACGAATTGTCCGCCTGGTATATACTATTATTATTATTCAATGTCAATGTTATTGATCAAAAGTGGTCACCTAATCGTTTAATAAATATTACTATTGACCTCCCCTGCGTATTTCTCGCCTCTGATGTCGTTCAGTATATTACTGACCTCTGATGTCATAACATTCGGAACATTTAAATTGTAGCAGACGATAACAGGAAGAACGACACTTTCGAAAGCGTTTCTTCACTGGCGGCCAAATTTGATTGAAATTCTTGAAATGGTTGTATTTTCTTGGGGTAATACAACACTTTGTTTTTGGCTTCCTCCCACATCAAGAATAATGCCTAAGACCAGTCCAATACTATTGCATGGCATTATGTCACATCACGCTATACAACGTCACGTCACATCAAATCGCATCGTAAAACATTAAAACAAACGTAGCATCGCGCCAGATCACATCGCATGGCACCACATCAAATTGTATCACATCCATTGTCACATGTCACTTCCCCGTTAGGGGCGGGGGGATACATAGAACATAGATAGATACATAGAACTTGCCTGATGGGGACGTGCCCCTGAAATGGGTCTCGTTTTTTGAATTTTAGGTATAAGTATCGGTCTTATTTCTGGTCAAGATAGGTATAAATATCAGTAATAAATATGCTCTTATGTAAATGCTAAATAAGTAATAAATCAACATGCAATGCAACATGGGCTTCTATTGGAGATGCTCTTCTAATAGAGCAAATACGGTAACTGTTTCAATTTATTTGGAATAAACAGTGATGACAGAAATGGTACTTTGGTATAAATATGGGTATAGATTTTGCCACTATCCAGGTCTAAAAATGGTCACACTTTTGAGCACTCAGGGCACCTACCTACCCAGCTATGTATCAACTGCCCCCGGGGTCACATTGCATCGCACCACATCGCTTCGCATCAGCGTACCAGTTACATTACATTACATTACATCGATTCGCATCATTACATTACAAATTAAAATGCCTTATTCTATATAATAAATTATATTACATTTTCAGACCCGAGTCTAAAGACATTGGTTGTCACTGGTCCACTAGAGCTAACATATGCTGCCAGCGACTCGCCCCATGTGGTCAGCGCTGATCTTGAAATATTAAATTCGGGTGGGACAGGGGATGAAGACGCTTTCACAATAACACCAGCAAATTTTTCACTGGAGGCGTACCTATGTAGTGCGGACGACGGTGACATGTCTTTGTGCATGGAGTCCGGCGACGTTGGTGCGTCATCGGATGATGCGTTAACTTTCAATCCATGGGACACTGTTACTATGGGCAATCTTTCCATCTCAGTTACTATGCCTTCCGATGGTTGTTATGACGACGGCTACGTGTGCATCCAGATGGTGAAAGGTAAATCAAATGATTGGCTATCCTAATTGTCAGAGTTTTAACGACGGCATTCAGAATGTTTGTCTTAAGTTGTGTCAGTATTGCACGGGTTACTTGAGCCACATATCCACGCATGACCATGACTTTTCATCGTTTCACTCCAGTGGTACATCTAATTGGATTTTTTTTAAATCCCGCTATCGTTCGCCCCACAATACAGTAAACCTCTACAATATACTACTGTTTTATTGACGGTCGACCGCAGATCTAAATAAAATCGATTCAGTGCAATAAATCGGTTACATCCACTCACGTCATAAAAGCGCTTTGTCGCCAGAGGGCGCAGCATACAAGAAAGATGAAAAGGCTGCAAAAGTGTTAAATGTCATGATTGGTTGAAAATGTCAGACAGGTTTTGATAGTCTGGCTGTGTGTAGTATCCCCATGAAGGGTAAGCTGGCACGAATATCACATTATGCAAACTGTTTAGCCACGTACTTCGATCAAATTTCTTAGCGCTTATACGAGAGGTATAAGTCAGAAAAAATAATAAAATACAATTTATTCTCTTAATAAATAAATTAATTGGTAATTAATTTTAGTATTGCAGTTTTGGCTGCTGATTTCTGTGTCTATGTTTTTTTTTTGATAAAAATAGTTAATAAGTAACTGTTTCCTATTTGGAATGACACCTATGCACAGATACATTTTCAGGTTGAACGTGAACTCATGATGAGAGTTTGTTTCAACGTAAACAACCTGCGTGTGAAGAAACCGTGAATATCTATACGTTTGCGTGATGTTTTTTTTTTTTTTTTTTTTGCCATTCTGTGCATTGTCATACCAATTTCCCTACCGTTAGATGGCGCTGCAACTTATAATGACGACTCATCTAACAACTACGTATGCCTCGAGTTTGGTGATATATTGGATGGGAAAGCAGGAATCGTAGCATGTTCAACGGAAGAACCGATGGAAGCAGAGTCAGGTAAAATAATTTTCAATCACGAACTAATACTTATTTTTCTGAGCAAAATCAAAGATTACATGAAAGTCACATAACATACATTAGCGACTGTAGAACCGTTTTTGAGATAACATTGACCTGAGCACATCTCTAAAAATTAAGATAATTTATTCTGACCTGAAGGAATCCTAGTGGCCTTGTACAAAAACAGTGGATTAGGGTTTAGCCCATTTTTAAGTAGGTTACGGCATGAGGTTTGGGGTCGGTTGTTTCGAAGCGGTTTTATTTCGGGTACAGTTTCGGTCTAAATTCCTTGTTCATTTTTGGATATACGGCACGGTCGGCACCCCATGACGACACTTATCGTCCAGTGGAATGTAATGTCTGAACACATGTACAGTGTATTTTGACAGCATCATGACTCTATCACGTGTTTTCAGCTTGTAAATTTCTGTGAGATGTTAATTAATATTATGCTGTGAATTTCGAATGCCAAACTAATATATAATTTGTCGGTTTTCATCTTTCGAACAGGATCACACAGCTTTATCACAACAAGTATCGCCATGTATTTCACGGCATTGAGTACATGTATTAGTATGATGTGAGAGGAAATGCGCCATCCATGCACAAGTGAAAACAGCCGAGAAATCCACCGTTGCGGGCATATTTGTACTAGTCGTGTGACGACGTGTAACAACGAGATACCTTGACCCAGCTCTATCTTGGTGTTCTGCAGCTGCAAATATACTAATATGAATGAGAAATATTTAGAAAAATCAGCTCCACGTATTTTTTTACACCATGTTTGTGAATATGTCATATAGATTAAGCTGTTTATGTTAATACTTGACGCCTTCCAGAGTTAAATAATTCCATGACAACACTAAAATACAAAATAGCAAGGCAATTAATTTCTTTAATCATTTTAATGTTTTGTATCCTAAGAACATCCCAAATACTGTCACAGTAACAACAAGATTTTGCATTTTTTTTTAGTTGCATTTTTTCCTGAATTATATTCATTCTTGATGTCATCTCATAAATTTTCACCCGAATTTTGCCGAAATTAGCCGAATATTGTGATCGGCTGAACAGTGACAGCATGACTGCCTTAGTTTGATTCAGACTTTCGAGTTGCAGTTATTTACTGTGATTTCTACAAAAAAAGACACTAAGAAATTTGAAAACATTATACTCGGAGTGACTTGATATGAGTTGTACGTGAAGGCGGTGCAAAACCATCCAAATATTTTTGATTTGAAGGCATGCGAATAGTTTTATTCGAATATTTATACTACCATTCCTGTGTTTGTAATTAAGTACAGCATTTTTATGTGACGTCAATTTGAAGGCAAATGCATAATTTTATTCGAATGTCAATTTTAGGATCATCTTAGGATCATAACATTGTCCGTTCCTAACCAAGCGTTATTGGAAGTTAGTGTGTATTACTGACATGAGAAAGTTATTAAATGAATTCCACGTACAATGATCTTCGTGATCCTGTTCTAAATGAGATATAATAGTTTTGAATACACGATGTAGATATCAGTACAGATGGGTTTTGAATAACTTGTATTATTTTGCTAGTATATCAGTCATTCAAGTTCATGCGATGTGCACTTTAGAACCATAATTTGCATAACGAGAGTTGTGAACATATAAAATAAACCAAATGAACTATTATAAAGATTGTCGATAGCGAGTAAAGTTGCACAGAAAGAGAAATACAAATATATAATACGATGTTCTTATTTATTTAATAGGAGAATTCATCTTGTCAGTACTCATTGCTACGACAACCACCTGTTGCTAAATCACATACAACTACATATGGCATGTTGTACAATTTACCAAGACACTTACTGGGTTAAAATAGACAGTATACCGATTTATAGCACGCGTAATGTATAAACTAAGGGGAGATAAACATATTAGTGACAAAATTCCCCGCGATTGCTGACACTTCACTTCACAGTGTCCATAGATTTATAAATAACCAATTAGCTACAGTTAATTATGCTAAAATCCGATACAACATTAATGGAGTATGAATATTAAGTTCGTATACTATATTTGTGCACAATTACACACTTTCATTTTTAGGACAGATTTCTTGGACAGTTTCGGCCACACACATGTTTTATAATTTATCAATTGAGTTCTTGCCCCTATACCTGGTTCATGAAAGCGTAAATTTGTTTTATGTAAAACTATATTTATAAATGCTTATACATTTCAAATGGCGTTTGAAAACAAATTGACCAATCACAAGCGTTAGCGAATGGATACCGCCCGTTCAGAACTCCATTGCGACCATTTAACATATAACTTCTCCTAACTCGCTTTAGCAAACTAACTGTCCGTGCCAAACGATAATGGCACTACTTGTACTTGTATTCTTTTTAATTTATTTAAAATTTATTGTTTTAAAAGAATCGCTGTCATTTTTAAGTGTTTTAAACGAATTTGATAGGATATGCTCTTTGCGTCCATGACTGTAACTCGACCAATGGTTGAAGAAACCCTACAAAACTACGTAGGTAATTGGCGTTACCAAATGCAAATGCACCGTCTTGGATTTAAATAGAGCGCGATGGCCATTCAGGACAAATGTTAAAATAAATATTTAGAAAGTTTATAAAGCCCATTCACGCTTTCACGAAACCCAGTGTATATATAAATCTATTTTTTTCAGAAAGATGCCTGAAATGCATAACGCAATGTTGCTTGTCAGTGACATATCCTATTAAAAACACAGAACTTGAAATCTGAATAGACTCGCAGAATAAATAACACCAATTTAAAAAAAATGTTTAAGTTGGGATACTTATAGAATATGTCCAAATTTAATTATCTACAATTAATCAAATGTTGATTTGAAATATTGGCAATAAATTTCATCTTTTAGCAGAATTACATCCATGAGTGAATCATGCATTGTGTTGTCAAGCAACGCCATGTTGACCTTTGACGCCAGTTATGATGTTCAAAACTGTCTTTCGAGGAATTAAATTTAAAACGAGGGCAAGTTTTTCTCACAATTGATAATCATATGCTCAGAAATTAAGAGTGATAATTCACAAATATATCCAAACTGACCGGCAACAGATGCAGCTGAGTTATAACACAAATTTGGAACTACTTGATGCAGCATAATGCAAACCGAAAGAGTAAACAGGCCACATTTGAACATTTGAAGGTACCGAACACGCCAATGAATGCCGTTCACCGACGTCAAACAAACAAACAAATAAGAGCATTTGGGTATGATATTTTATGAGCTTTTTGTCTTATTTATAATTATTAAAGATTAATTTGTATGTCGTATTTATTTATTTATATTTATTTATTTATTTATTAATAACTCGTACGTTGCAAGTACGCTTTTAAGTAATAAGAACTCAATCAAAAATATTGCCGTGGGCGAAAAGTCAGTGGCAAATTCACCGGTTTGAGTGGCAATACAATTTTGCACACCATTTCGAAATAATTGTTTTTTTTTAGTATTTGAGCACAAATAAGATAATTAATTAGCGAGCAAAATATCAATCATCAATCAATAACATTGGTACATGCTATATCCCTACATAGGCACGTACATTTATAGTGACAAACCATAATTCAACAATGGTTTTTGAGTCCTCTGCGCTATGAAGAATTACGAGGGTGACAGCGAGTTCAGAAACAGAAGTAGTTGTAAACAACAGCAACATCTGTATCAAGACTCGATACCTTCCCGTCCAATTGTTCATAGCTTTACGGACATTCGATCTCAATCGGGTGTCATTTCTTGAAAGACGTCAACAGCTTTATTGACATTACCAATTGTGTAAAATAGAGCCGTCTATTGAGAGCGGAATCCGTACGCCACAAATTCCTAAGGGATAGTAAAATACAATTACATCCATTTGGTGCACAATGTGTGTACAGTCCGGTGTGTATATAAGACGAGCCGATTGCTAGGATAGAGGGGTGGGTAAGTCAGGACAACGGAGGGAATTGTTTGGTTTTCGAAATAACTTGCACCTTGCGGTTCAGGTATTAAATGGTATCTATAACCAATGCATCTTCGTCGGAGTGTTATGTGTGGAAATTTGTCGTTTATTGTACAAGTAGATAAGACACAATACTGAGCGTCCCACCAGGACTCGGAAAGTGGTATATTTCAATAGATATTATTCAATGGACATGTGGGTGTGTCCTGACAGATCAATAAAGAGGTCGCAGATTGGTTTGAAATGTCATCGCTACTTGGGATTTTTTTATCGTGTGAAAAAATGTTCCTCGTATTTTTACGCTATGTTCTCGTGTGTCTTGTGGTTTTGGAGAGCGCACATTCATCGTGTCCGTTCGAGTGTTTCTGTGTGTCAACCAGCAGGGGGCATGTAGTCGAGTGCCACGCCGGGGGCTTTACGGACATACCGACTCCGTTATTTGCCGACACGTCTACATTGGTGATGAATGGAAACAACATTAGTACTCTGCACAATAACAATTTTATATATCTCTCTCAACTCAAGCAGCTACGACTCGACAACAATATGATATCGGAGATTGAAGTCGGTGCTTTTCGGAATCTGTCGATGCTACAAGAACTAACACTTGCTCAGAACCAACTGACCACATTACAGATCGGTATATTCGATGGTCTAGTTAGTCTGACGAAGTTAGATTTGAGTGAGAATATGCTGACCTTTGTACCTCCTAAAGGTGTCTGGGACGACGTCATCAATATGGTTAATCTGAATTTCAAGAAGAATCTAATTGTTACTGAGCCTACCAACGAATTTCTAAATCTGTGGAACCTGACGATACTGGATATATCGTTCAACTCACTCTCTGGCATCGGAGACGAATGTTTAAAAAGTATGGGCCGTTTACGTGAACTTAAAATGGACGGCAACAATTTCACATCTATCCCGACAACGGCTCTCTCTCGCTTACCGTCAAAGAATATGGTGTATTTAGGCCTCAGTTCTAATCGGATTAATCGCATTGACGATTTTGCTTTCGATGTGGATTCTCTCAGAAGCTTGGAGACATTGACGATGTGGTCTAATTTAATAACGGACATATCGAATGATGCATTTAAAAACGTACCTCGACTTGCCACTCTATTGTTGGGTGTTAACAGACTCACTACATTAAACTCGATTGCATTTAGCAAGTTGACAGGTATCCGGATGCTGAATTTACTTGGAAACCCCTTACTCTGTGACTGCGATATGATCGATTTTGTGCATTGGTCTCAAAATAGGACAGAGCTGCACCTTCTCGGAGACTGTCGTACTCCCGCGAATTTAAAGGGCGCCCTAATTGAGAAGCTGTCGTCTGCTGATTTGAGATGCACTAGCGCCCTCATTGATACAGATAATTTCCCATCTGCGGTCACGGTGGCGGAAGGAGAAGACGCCACAATGTGTTGCCTCGTTAATCGCGGAGGGGTTTCGGTTCACTGGTATACAGCTGACGGTACTTTCTTAAGCAACCTGACATGCCTGCAGTTACTAAATGTCTCTTCAATGAGTGATACGAATTACGAGTGCGTTGCAATACTGAACAGTCTGTACGACACCGAAACATTTTCCCTGACTGTTCTCACACCGACAAAAACCGTCATGACCTCTGCGACAATGCAAACGGAACTGGTGACAGATACCGCACCAGACACCATACCTCACCTGATTATCATCATTTCTGTCGCAGTCGGTGGCGGGATTTTTATCATATTTTTAATCGTCTGCTGCGTCGCTTTGCGCATGCGCCGTTTCAGTGCCAGCTTGGACATTCAAGCCAGCATGCCGCTTCAGGATACAAAGCAAACTTCTACTTACGTCACGAGCCCGAAAGACGGACACGACGGCGTCAACTTTATGACCTATGAACAGACTGATTCGGAAAAGCCAACAACACAATGATACATCAGTTTCCAGGGAACAATCGAAGCGAAAGTCTTTCTATCCAATCATATTTTTTTTAACGTAATATCTATAACCTACAAGAGAAGTCTCGCATGACATTGTCATTCATTGCGGGAATCGTCATGAAAGAATGCGCGAAACTTATAATCAATGTTCAATAGATACTATTTTTGTATAAATTATTTTTTGTTGAATTCTTGCCTTTCACACTGAGAATTGTTGCATCATGCTGCAAAATGTATCCACATTCATATCAATACAATTTTTACAATGCGAGGTATGGCCTGGTATGGTCGACTAGATGTCATTTTGTCATAACACACGATTTCAAAGCAACTCACATGCAGACAAAACCCTAAGATACACATATCTCATATATTTTCGGATACGATGTAATATATCCAATTATTCTTCCTGTTCTAACCCTTCTGTTCAACTTTATTTACAATTCAGGTGACTTTCCGAAAGAGTGGGCATCGGGTGTTGTTATTCCCATATTGAAGCACGGGGGGGGGGGGGTGATGTAAACAACTACCGGGGGATATCATTATTAAATGTTTTAGGAAAGATTTTTACAGCAATCTTAAATGAAAGGCTAAGTTTATGGGCAGAACATAATGGCGTGTTATCCGATTGTCAATCGGGTTTTTGAAAAAATCACAGTACTATAGATAATATTTTTGTTTTATATGCTATTGTGCAG